CCCCAAAACCCCAAAACCCCATTGGTTATAATAAATTTACTTTTAGGTATTATTAAGAAATAAAAAAGATAACCAATTAAACAAAGAAAAACAAAATCTCAAAGAGATTTATTGGAAACTAATGCCTGAATAGGTCAGATTAAACTTCTTAGATAGTTGTCACAAAGTTGTTTCACATAAACTAAATTAAAAGTCAAGTCACATTTTTCTTACATTTAATTTCTTCAAGATTAACAGTATAGAGATCCTCATCATTGATCTTAGAGAAATAAACTTTCTTAAAGTCCTCAGGAATGACTCTTTGATTAGATTTTCCATGGAATGTTTGAGACATAGCAAGAAATGATAGCTCTTTCCTCTAACGATTGAGCCTTTTCTTGTAACTTTTAGAGCCTGAATCTTCAATATCCTCAAATGAAAGATACTAAATCATCTCAGCAAATTAATCTTTCTTCTACATAAAAATAGCCATTGAGGCTCTTGCATCAATTACCTAAGAGAGTTTCAATAAGATGTATTGAGTTTACTGAGGAATGAAGATGATTCTGAATCTTGGCATTAAGCTTTTCTCTTGCAAGGGCCCTCAGCTTTTAGGGTTACTTCTAATCTTCGAGTGTAGATGTGTCAATGAACTAGACATTTGCTATGCCCATGACTTTGAGGTCATACTTAACAGAATGCCCGACGAAAATGGAATCCTTGCAGATTTCCATAATATGAGTGTAGATTGGATCTCTTGATGGAGCATCATTTAGATGGTATTCCCTGATGCCATGTATCATTGCACAGGATCTGATTCTTTCTCCATTATCATTGACTAGAGTATCAAGAATTACTTCTCCGAACTCATTCACTATAGTAACTTTGCAAGGAATGTTTTTCAATGATCCTTAATCCATTTCACAGTCGATAGCAATATACTCAGTAACACTTTAATAAATATGAAGGAGAGTTTAAGGAAAAAGACATACTTTCCATAAGATTAAGCTGGATTCAGAATGGTCTATAACTAGAGTTCTTCATTCTTATTGGATCTCTCAATTTTCAAATTTTCACTTAGTCTCTTTTAGGTGAATCCATAGAGGTTCTTCTCAAAATATGATTGCATCAGAGGTAAATTTTGATGAATTAATATATTATAATTTTATACCAAACTCTCTAAAATAATATTTTTATGGGGTTTTGGGGTTTTGGGG